CAGAGATTTCTAGCTTTACTCAATGAGATTTTTAACTTGAATTTTATCTGGTGAGAGAAATTATCAGAATCTTCTAGCTGAACTCAATGAGATTTCTAACTTGACTTACATCTGGTCACAAGGATTCTCAGAGGTTTTTAGTTTAATTTGAAGAGATTTTTAACTTGACTCAGACCTTGTGGCAGAAATTCTCAGAGATTTCTAGCTTTACTCAATGAGATTTCTAACTTGAATTATATCTGGTGACATAAATTATCAGAATCTTCAAGCTGAACTCAATTTCCTATCTTGAGTTAGATCTCGTAACAGAATTTTTTCCAGAGATATCTAGCTTACAATATCAATGTTTATATCAGGAAACAGTAACTTTCATAGAATTTTTGGCTTAATTTCTCCAGCTTTTCAACATAACTTAGATCTCGTGGCAGGAATTCTCAGAGACTTCTAGTTTAACTCAATGATATTTCTAACTTGACTTACATCTAGAGACAGTGATTCTCAGAGTTTTTTAGTTTCACCTGAAGAGATTTCTAGTTTGACTCAGATCTTGTGAAAAAAAATTCTAGGAGAATTTTAGCTTAGCTCAATGAGATTTCTAACTTGACTTAGATCTCGTGACAGGAATTTTCAGAGGTTTTTAGTTTAATTTGAAGAGATTTTTAACTTGACTCAGACCTTGTGACAGAAATTCTCAGAGATGTCTAGCTTTACTCAATGAGATTTTTAACTTGAATTATATCTGGTGAGAGAAATTATCAGAATCTTCTAGCTGAACTCAATGAGGTTCCTAACTTGAGTTAGATCTCGTGACAGAATTTTTCCAGAGATATCTAGCTTACAACATCAAGGTTTATATCAGGAAACAGTAACATTCATAGATTTTTAGCTTAATTTCTCGAGCTTTTCAACATAACTTAGATCTCGTGACAGGAATTCTCAGAGACTTCTAGTTTAACTCAAGGAGATTTCTAACTTGATTTACATCTGGTGACAAGGATTCTCAGAGGTTTTTAGTTTAATTTGAAGAGAGTTCTAACTTGACTTAGATCTCATGACAGGAATTTTCAGAGAGTTCTAGGTTAACTAAATGAAATTTCTGAAGTGTCTTTCATCTGGCGACAGAAATTATCAGAGTCTTCTAGCTTAACTTATCGAGATTTCCAACTAGACTTAGACCTGGTAACAGGAGTGTTCAAAGATTGCTAGCCTACTTCATCGAGACTTCTAGTTTGATTCAAATCTCAGAACAGGAAAGTTCAGAGTCTTCTAACTCATTTCAATGAGATTTCTAACTTGACTTACATCTGGTGACAAGGTTTCTCAGAGGTTTTTAGTCTAACTCGAAGAAAATTCTAACTTGACTCAGATCTTGTGAAAAAAACTTTAAGAGAAATCTAGCTGAACTCAATGAGATTTCTAACTTGACTTTGATCTCGGGAGAGGAGTTTTCAGAAAGTTCTAGGTTAACTAAATGAGATTTCTTGAGTGACTTACATCTGGTGGCAGAAATTATCGGAGTCTTCTAGCCTGATTTATCGAGATTTCCAGCTTGACTTAGACCTGGTGACAGGAATGTTCAGAGATTGCAAGCCTACTTCATCGAGACTTCTAACTTGATTCAGATCTCAGAACAGGAAAGTTCAGAGACTTCTAATTCATTTCAATGAGATTTCTAACTTAACTTACATCTGGTGACAAGGTTTCTCAGAGGTTTTCAGTATAACTTGAAGAGATTTCTAACTTGACTCAGGCCTTGTGACAGAAATTCTCAGAGATTTCTAGCTTAACTCAATGAGAATTCTAACTTGACTTAGATCTCGTGACAGGATTTTTTTCAGAGATATCTAGCTTACAATATCTAGCTTACAGGGTTTCCCAGAGGTTTTCACTTTAACTTGAAGAGCTTTCTAACTTGACTCAGATCTTGTGGCAGAAATTCTCAGAGATTTCTAGCTTAACTCAATGAGATTTCTAACTTGAACTATATCTGTTGACAGAGATTATCAGAGTCTTCTAGCTTAACTCAATGAGGTTTTTTAACTTGAGTTAGATCTCGTGACAGGATTTTTTTTCAGCTTACAATATCAAGATCTATATCAGGTAACAGTAACTTTCATAGGTTTTTAGCTTAATTTCTCGAGCTTTTCAACATAACTTAGATCTCGTGACAGAAATTCTCAGAGACTTCTAGTTTATCTCAATGAGATTTCTAACTTGACTTACATCTGGTGACAAGAATTCTCAGAGGTTTTTAGTTTAATTTGAAGAGTTTTTTAACTTGATCCAGATCTTGTGAAAAAAATTCTATGAGAACTCCATCTTAACTCAATGATATTTCTAACTTGACTCAGATCTTGTGACAGAAAATCTCAGAGATTTCTATCTTAACTCAATGAGATTTCTTACTTGAATTATATCTGGTGACAGAAATTATCCGAGTCTTCGAGCTTAACTCAATGAGTTTTCCAATTTGAGTTAGATCTCGTGGCAGGATTTTTTCCCGAGACATCTAGCTTACAATATCAAGACCTATATCAGCGAACAGTAACTTTCATAGATTTTTAGCTTAACTTCTCGAGCTTTTCAAGATAACTTAGATCTCATAACAGGAATTCTCAGAGACTTCTAGGTTAACTAAAAGAGATTTTTTACGTGACTTACATCTGGTGACAGAAATTATTAGAGTCTTCTAGCTTAACTTATTGAGATTTCCAATTTGACTCAGACCTGGTGAGGGAAATGTTCAGAGGTTACTAGCCTACTTCATCGAGACTTCTTAATTGATTCAGATCTCAGAACAGGACATTTCAAAGACTTCTAATTTAACTCAATGAGATTTCTAACTTGACTTACATCTGGTGACAAGGATTCTCAGAGGTTTTCAGTTTAACTTGAAGAGATTTCTAAATTGACTCAGATCCTGTGACAGACATTCTCGGAAATTTCTAGCTTAACTCAATGAGATTTCTAACTTGAACTATATCTGGTGACAGAGTCTTATAGATTAACTCAATGAGGTTTCTAACTTGAGTTAGATCTCGTGACAGGATTTTTCCAGAGATATCTAGCTTATAAAATTAAAATCTATATAAGGGAATAGTAACTTTCATAGATTTTTAGCTTAATTTCTCGAGCTTTTCAACATAACTTAGATCTCGTGACAGGAATTCTCATAGACTTCTAGTGTATCTCAATGAGATTTCTAACTTGACTTACATCTGGTGACAAGGATTCTCAGAGGTTTTTAGTTTAATATGAAGAGTTTTTAACTTGACTCAGATCTTGTGAAAGAAATTCTATGAGAATTCCAGCTTAACTCAATGATATTTCTAACTTGACTTTAATCTCGTGAAAGGAATTTTCAGAGAGTTCTAGGTTAACTAAATGAGATTTCTTAAGTGACTTACACCTGGTGACAGAAACTATCGGAGTCTTCTAGCATAACGACTTAGACCTGGTGACAGGAAAGTTCAGAGATTGCTAGCCTACTTCATCGAGACTTCTAACTTGATTCAGATCTCAGGACAGGAACGTTCGGAGACTTCTAGTTTAACTCAATGAGGTTTCTAACTTGACTTACATCTGGTGACAAAGATTCTCAGAGGTTTTCAGTTTAACTTGAAGAGATTTCTAATTTGACTCAGATCTTGTGAAAGAAACTCTAAGAGAATTCTAGCTTAAGTCAATGAGATTTCTAAATTGACTTAGATCTGGTGACAGAAATTATCAGAGTCTTCTAGCATAACTTAGCGAGATTTACAACTTGACTTAGACCTGGTGACAGAAAAGATCAGAGATTGCTAGCCTACTTCATCGAGACTTCTAACTTGATTCAGGAAAGTTCAGAGAATTCAAATTTATTTCAATGAGATTTCTAACTTGACTTACAGTTTTGGTTTTCAGTTTAATTTGAAGAAATTTTTAACTTGAATAATATCTGGTGACAGAAATTATCAGAGTCTTCTGGCTTAACTCATGGAGGTTTCCAACTTGAGTTAGATCTCGTGACAGGATTTTTTTCAGAGATATCTAGCAAAAATGTCAAGACTATATCAAGGAACAGTAACTTTTATAGATTTTTAGCTTAATTTCTCGAGCTTTTCAACATAACTTA